ATATAATATTCTTAATCCTTTGTTGTCATTTCAAAGATCTTCACAGCATTTCACCAGGAAATTTCAATTTAAGAAACCACTTTATTTGCTCATCCATAAGAAATAACTTCTTTTTTAAGCCCTGGCTGGTGTAGCTCAGTGGATTGAGCACAGGCCTGTGAACCAAAGGATCGTGGTTCGATTCCCAGTCAGGGAACATGTCTGGGTTGCGGGCCAGTTCCCAGCAAGGGACACATGAGAAGCAACCACACATTGATATTTCTCTCCCTCTCTCTTTCTTTTCCCTTCTAAAAATAAGTAAAATCTAAAAAAATAAATAAATTTATTTTTAAAAAATAACTTCTTCTTTTTTTTTTTTTTTTTTTTTTACTTCTGGAGAAGATGGAGGTGTAGGTAGACACACTGTACCTCCTCACACAACCAAAATAAGGACAACAAAAATTTAGAAACAAAAAACAACCAAAAACCATTTACTGACAGAAAATTGAACTGTATGGAAGTCTGACGACCATGGAGTTAAAGTAGACACATTCATCCAGACTGGTAGGAGGGGCAGAGAGGGGTTGCGGCAAAAAACTGGTGGCTGGTGGACCCTGGGCAGCAGGCAGAACCCAGCGTGGCTGGGGGTTTTGGAGGGCTGTGGCGCACAAGGCGGATTGCAAACTGGGCAGTCCTACATTCATGTGTAGATAAACCAGGTGAAACAACTGGGGAGCAAGACAGACTGCAAAACCCAGGGTCCCAGGGCAGGGAAATAAAGCCTCAAACCACTGATTGAAAACACCTGTGGGGATTGAGGTGCAGCGGGAGAAACTCCCAGCCTCACAGGAGAGTTCGTTGGAGAGACCCACAAGGTCCTAGAATGTACACAAGCCCACCCAAACGGGAATCAGCATGAGAAAGGCCCAGTTTGCTTGGGGGAAGTGGTGGAAGGAACTGAAATCCTATGGAGAGTGGAGTAGGCACCATTGTTCCCTATTGGACCCCTCCCCCACACACAGCATCACAACCCAGCAAAGTGGGTTACCCCCGTCCTGGTGAACACCTAAGGGTCCGCCCCTCACTGTGTAACAGGAGCATCAAGACAAAAAACATGGCCCAAATGAAACAACAGATCAAAGCTCCAGAAAGAATACAACTAAGTGATCAAGAGATAGCCAACCTATCAGATGCACAGTGCAAAGTACTGGTGATCAGAATGCTCACAGGATTGAATATGGTCACAAACTAGATGAAAAAATGAAGGCTGAGCTAAATGAAATGAGGGAAAATGCACAGGGAACCAATAGTGATGGGAAGAAAACTGGAACTCAAATCAATGGAGTGGACCAGAAAAAAGAAAGAAACAACCAAACAGAAAATAATGAAGAAACAAGAATTCAGAAAAATGAGGAGAGGCTTAGGAACCTCCAGGAAATTTTTAAATGTTCCAAATTCCAAATTAATAGGGGTACCAGAAGGAGAAGAGGAAGAGCAACAAGTGGAAAAGTTATTTGAACAAATAATAAAAGAGAACTTCCCCAATCTGGCAAAGGAAATAGACTTCCAGGAAGTCCAGGAAGCTCAGAGAGTCCCAAGGAAGGTGGACCCAAGGAGGAACACACTAAGACACATCATCATTACATTAGCCAAGATTAAAATGAAGGAGAGAATTCTAGAAGCAGCAAGAGATAAGGAGACGGTTACCTACAAAGGAGTTCCCATCAGACTGTCAGCTGATTTCTCAAAAGAGACCTTATAGGCAAGAGAGGGCTGGAAAGAAGTATTCCAAGTCATAAAAGGCAAAGACCTACATCCAAGATTGCTCTATCCAGCAAAGCTTTCATTTAGAATGGAAGGACAGATAAAGTGCTTCTCGGATAAGGTCAAGTTCAAGGAGTTCATCATCACCAAGCCCTTATTACATGAAATGTTAAAGCGACTTACCTAAGAAAAAGAAGATAAAAAACATGAACAGTAAAATGACAGCAAACTCATAAGTATTAACAACCACACCTAAAACAAAAACAAAAACAAAAGCAAACACCTAGAACAGGAACAGAACCACAGAAATGAAGATCACATGGAGGGTTATCAACAGGGGAATGGGAGGGAGAGGAAAAGGTACAGAGAATAAGTAGTGTGAATAGTAAGTAGAAAATAGACAGATGGAGAACAAGAATAGTATGGGAAATGTAGAAGCCAAAGAACTTATATGTATGACACATGGACATGAACTAAAGGAGGAAAGGAGGGGTTGTGCAGGGTGGCAGGGAATGAAGGGGAGAAAATGGGACAACTGTAATAGCATAATCAATAAAATATATTTTAAAAAGAAATAACTTTTTAAACTATTTTTCATTAGTTTATTTCATAAGAAATAACTTCTCAGTTCAGTTACATCTTCAGGCTCCACTTGTAATTCTCATTCTCTTGCTGTTTCTACCACAGCTGCAGTTACTCCACTGAAGTCTTGAACCCCTCAAAGTCATTCATGAGTATGGAATCAAATTGCTCCAGACTCTTGTTAATGTTGCTATTTTGACCTTTTCTCATAACGTATGAAGGTTCTTGTCAGTATCTAAAATGGTGAATTGTTTCCAGAAAGTTTTCAGTTAACTTCGCTTAGATCCATCAGAGGAATCACAATCTGTGGCAGCTATAGCCTTATGAAATGTACTTCTTAAATAATTATTCCTTGATTCCTGGGATGCAGAGTGGATGCTGTGTTAGCAAGCATGAAAACAATAGCATTGATCTCACTGCATATCTCCATCAGAGCTCTTAGGTGACCAGGTGTACTGTCAATGAGCAGAAATATTTTGTAAAGACTCTTTTTTTTAATTGTATTTAATAATTGTTCAAGTACAGTTTTCTGTCTTTTCCTCCCATCCCAGGCCCCCCCGTAGTGGTCCCCACCTCCCTCCCATTCCCCCACCCTCGCCTTAGTTTTTGTCCATGTGTCCTTTATGCTTGTTCCTGTGAATCCTTCTCCTTTTCCCCTGAAATTCTCTCCCCACTCCCCTCTGGTCCCTGTCAGCCTGTTCTGTATTTCAGTGTCTTTGGTTATATTTTGCTTGCTTGTTTGTTTTGTTGTTTAGGTTCCTGTTAAAGGTGAGATCACATGATATTTGTCTTTCACTGCCTGGCTTATTTCACTCGGCATAATACTTTCCAGTTCCATCCAAGCTGTTGCAAAGGGTAGTAGCTCCTTCTTTCTTTGTGCTGCATAGAATTCCATTGTGTAAATGTACCATAGTTTTTTAATCCATTCATTTACTGAAAAGACTTTTTTTCTGAGCAGTAGGTTTCAACAGTAAAATTGGGCTTAAAAAAATCAGTAAACAATGCTGTAAACATATGTGTTGTCATCCAGGCTTTGTTGTTTGCTTTATGGGGCTCAGATAGAGTACATTTAGCATAATTCTTAGGGGGTCTTAAGATTTTCAGATAGTAAATGAGCATTGTCACTGGCTTCATTAGCCGCTAACAAGAGAATCAATCAGCCGCTCCTTCAAAGCTTTGACACCAGGCATTGACTTCTTTCTAGCTAGGAAAGTCCTAGATTGCATCTTTTTCCAATATAAGGCTGTTTTGTCTACATTGAAAATCTGCTGTTTGCGTAGCCACCTTCGTTAATTATGTTATCTAGCTATTCCGGATAACTTGCAATGTCTACATCAGCACTTATTGCTACATCTTGTACTTTTATGTCTTAAAGATGGATTCTTTCCTTAAATATCATGAACCAACCTACCAGCTTCAAACTTTTCCTCTGTAGCTTTCTCACTTTGCTCAGCCTTTATAGACTTGAAGAGAGTTGGGGCCTTGCTCTGGAGTACGCTTTGGCTTAAGGAATGTTTGTCTGGCTTGATCCTCTATCCAGACCACTAACACTTCCTGCATATTAGCAATGAGAATGTTTCCCTTTCTTATCACTGGTGTGTTTACTGGAGTAGCTCTTTTAATTTCCTTTGAGAACTTTTCCTTTGCGTTCACATTTTGGTTAATTGTTTGGTTCAAGAAGCCTAGCTTTTACCTTCCCTCTGCTTTTGATCTGTCTCAGCTTTTGACATGCTTTCCTCAATAAGCTGAATCATTTCTAGCTTTTGATTTAAAGTGAGAGAGTGTGGTTCTTCCTTTCACTTGAACATTTTGAGGCCATTGTGTAGTTATCAATTGGCCTAATTTCAGTATTGTTTGCCTTAGAGATTAGGGAGGTCTCAGAAGAGGGACAAAATGGGGAAATGGCTGTTTGGTGGAGCAGTCAACACACAACATTAATGTGTTAAGTTTACTATGTTATGTGGGTTCATTTCATGGCACCCCCAAACAGTTACAATAGTAACATCAAAGATCACTGATCACAGATCACCATACCAAATACAATAATAATGAAAGGGTTTGAAATACTGTGAGACTTACCAAAATGTGGCACAAAGTGAGCAAACGCTGTTGGAAAAGTGGGCTGAGGGACTTCCTTGGAACAAGGTTACTACAGACCTTCACTTTGTACAAAAAATGCAGTATCTGCAAAGCACAATAAAGTGAAACCCCATAAAATGAGGTTTGCCTATGGTATTTGTCTATAATTATTACTATTTAGAGCAACAATAGTTGACCTTTTTCATCTCATGGCACACAAACTAATTACTAAACTTCTGTGGCACACCAAAAATGTTGTATTTTTTGCCTGTCTGACAAAAAATAGGTATACTTTTGATTTATTCACACTGGATGGCTAATGTTGTGTTGGCTGTTGTCAGTTTATTTCATAACCTAAGGGAAAAGAAGTCAGTGTCCCTGACTAGATAGTCAGGTATTGCATGTTTTAAAAATTCTTGCAGCACACAGGTTTCATATTGCTTATTTAGAGTGAATTTTTACATTAGGCTTTCTAATGAAGTTCCATAAGTAGTAGTGATTTAGCAGTCATGTATTTCTCATACTGAGCATGAGCATGCGACATCATTTCACATGTTCTAAACCTCTGTGCTCCATTTTCTCATCTCTGCTTCTAGGGTGGAGTTCCCCCACAGCCACGGGCCGCGCACACCTGTGCAGTTCTTGGAAATAAGGGCTATATCTTTGGTGGACGTGTTTTGGTTAGTATTTTCAGTGGAAATAACCTTTTATGTCTAATGCTTCTTATAAAACTTATTCTCTGAATTTGTAGAACAACTGAACATTCAAATAATTTAGAGATTATGGTGCTATGCAATAACTTCTATCTTCTATTCCCAAACAATCCACACATGAACAATCACAGATGATTATAAATGATATTTTAATGAGGAGAATATTTTACTGTAGTGTATTATTAGAAAAGTTTAATTTGTTATCATCTAAATCCTGGTGGTTTAAACTCATTTACATGTTTCCCTCTCGACACATTAATTTGGTAGCTCTATTTTAATTTTATTAATGCTTAGTATTGTTCCCCAATATATAAACTTATGATGTTAAGTAAAATAGAGATAATCTACTTATAATATAAACTTATTTAAACAAAATTTTACCTTTTGAAAATTGTAAAACACTGACCAGTTTAACGCACTTTTATTCTAGCAAACTAGGATGAATGATTTGCACTACCTGAACTTGGATACCTGGACTTGGTCTGGCAGGTAAGTATGTAATTTGTTTGTTTTTACCTATAGGCATTTCTCTGTGTGTATATGGGTGCACCATAGTCCAAATTTTGGTCTCTAAAACTGAACTATTATTTTTTTTCCTTCAGATTATATGTCTAAGCAAGGAATATATATAGATTTAAATAGAGTTTGTTTTTTAACTGAACTATATAAAACATGAGAATACTAGCTGTTGAAAGTTGATTATGTAAAAGTACTGGTTTTATACTATGTATACCTGAAGACTGGTCAGTAGAAGTGAAGTAACTTTAATGTGGTCATCACAGGTGAGCAGATATGGAGTGGATAGAAGTCAGATTTTATTTATGGCCCATAATTTATGACTGTATTTAATAGTAGAATACATATATTTAGCCATCGATTTAGCTGTTCATATAATAAGATGAACTCAGAACTAGGTCTGATTCCAAAGTATAAATGCTGTTAAAAATAAAAGCACAAAAGTGGGAAAAGAAAATGTAGCAGATTATCTTTTTTTTAAGCTAAGAAGTTCTCTTTATTTTTAAAGATTGTATTTATTTATTTATTAATTTATTAATTTATTAATTTATTTATTTATTTTTAGAGAGAGGGGAAGGGAGGGAGAAAGAAAGGGAAAGAAACATCACTGTGTGGTTGCCTCTTGCACACCCCATACCTGGGAACCCAGCCTGCAACCCAGGCATGTGCCCTGACTGGGAATCAAACCAACTGCTCTTTGGTTCACAGGCAGGTGCTCAGTCTACTGAGCCACCACCAGCCTGGGTGCATATCATCTTTAAAATCTCAGTATGGAGAAGGCTTTTCTGAAAACGATTTAAACCCCAAATTCTTAAATTAAAAGATAGGTTAATAAAACTACTTAATAATTCATTATTTCTATGTAGAAAATATACCACAAAAAGTTAAAAGGCAAATTGGAAAATGTAAACAAAAAATATAAACTAGAAGTAGTATTTATGGTACTTCTTTTTTTTTATGTTTGTTTGACCTACACAGTATTTTTTTATTTTATTTTGAATTTTTCTTAATTATTTTTATATTTTAATTACAGTTTACATTTATTATTATTTTGTATTGGTTTCAGGTGTTCCACATAGTATTTGGACAATCATATACTTTACACAATATTTATAATATTTTTAACAAAGAGGGCTAAGAGCCACAAGAAGTAAGTCAGTAAGAAAAAGAAATAATCCAATAGGAAAGTGGACAAAGAACATGCATAAGCAACCTGTAGAAGAAGTACAAATAGACAAAATTATTTTTTAAGTGTTCAACTTCATAGATTATTAAAGAAATAGAAATACAACTAGTTTTCACTTATCAGATAAAAGCAGTTACAAATGATAAGTGCTTGCCAGGTTGCAACAACATAGTTAGTGGAAGTACTGGTACAAATTTTCCATAATTAGTGGAAAATTGGTACAAATTTTCTGAAAGGTATTCCGATAATATGTCTAAAATATAAATTTCTGCACCAATCCAGAATTTCTCCAAAGACAAGAATTGAACAAGTATATCTGTGTGTGTGTGTGTGTGTGTGTGTGTGTGTACACACAAAGATGTTTTCTGCAACATCATTTATAAAAACAAAAATTCGAGGTCAGCCTTCATGGCCACAAGTAGGGATTGCTTAAATTATGGCACATTTGCCCAAAAGGCTGAGATGCTTCCATTACCAAAGGTAACTACTTCATGGAAATATTCTACAACATACTAGTTGAATGAAAAAAATTACAGAATGGAATATATGATCCCATTGATGTATTTTAATATTTCTGTGTACATTAGAGTCTGGAAAGATATGTACCAAGTTGTTATTTCTTATTGCTTGAGGACAGGATTGTATAACTCTCATTAAAATATTTTTGTGGCCCTGGCTGATGTGGCTCAGTGGATTGAGCACCTGCCTGTGAAGCAAAGGGTTGTTGGTTTGATTCCCAGTCAGAGCACATACCTGGGTTGCAGGCTGGGTTCACAGGTGCAGGGCGTGCAAGAGGCAACCACACAGTACTGTTTCTTTTCCTTTCTTTCTCCCTCCCTTTGCCTCTCTAAAAAAATAAATTAAATTAAAAAATATTTCTGTGGCTGTTGAATGTTTTCTAACCAAAATATTTTTATAGTCAATAAAAAATATTTCCAGTTTGGAAAAAAATTATATTTTCTACAAATGGCCTGTGTCATTCTGCAGCATTCCAGAATGCTGGGGAATGGTGCCTTCTTACTCTCTAAGTTAGTTAAATCACTTTTGTGCTTATGTTTTTATTTGTGTTTCTGTCTTTTAAGGAATAAAAACAGCATTTGTTTGAAATTTTTAGAGTTTTTTCCCCTGGATATGAAATGGCTTGTATGCTTTTATTTTGAAGCTAGAGTGGTTAGAATTTTCAGATGAAGATAATGTTTTGAGAAATTGTACAATAAATTGACCAAAGTAGAAAAAACAGCAAAATCCCATAATATCATTGAGGAAATCTGCTGAAAACAAAAAATTAAACATGAAACAACAGCTAAGGGTTATAGACATGAAAATAATTATGTTGAAAAACTTGAAGTTTTACTGATTACTAACAAGAATGATTCTGAGTATGCATTGTGAATTATCTAGGAATTAATTTTTAAACTGTGTTCTGTGACCAGATAAAATAGTAAGTGGAAAGATTGTTTAAACTCAACTAAGAATTTTAGAATGTTGTATTATTTGTTAACATATTTTACTTATTTATTTTTAGATAGGGGAAGGGTGGGAGAAAGAGGGAAACATCAATGTGTGGTTGCCTCTTGCATTTCCCCTAGTGGGGACCTGGCCTGCAACCCAGGCATGTGCCCTTAACTGGGAATCAAGCCAGCAACCCCTTGGTTTGCAGGCCACTGCTCAATCCACTGAGCCACACTAGCCAGGGTGAATTTAAGAATGTTTTATAAATCTTACATTGGTGGGATTTTAGTAATCCCACCTGCATAAAATTTTCAACTAGTGAGAGCAGTTTTTCCCTTTAAGAGCTGAAGTGATTGAAAACCTTTTATTTTAACTAACACAAGACTTGGATTTTTATATTTTTCTTTTGCCACAGGATTTCAATTAATGGAGAAAACCCTAAACAACGATCATGGCATACTTTAACACCAATAGCTGATGATAAGCTTTTCCTGTTTGGTGGACTAAGTGCGGACAATATTCCATTAAGTAAGTAAATTCATATTCAGCCTACAGTTATTACCTCACTTTTTTCTTTTTTAAACTTTTTTCAAAACATTATTCTTCATTCTTTATTTTTATATTTTTAATTGAATTTATTGGGGTGACTGATTCACAAAACCATACAGGTTTCAATTGTACAACTCAGTAAAACACCACCTGCAGACTGCATCCTGAGCCCATTCTCCCAAGCAAAGTCTCTTTTCTTCCCCATTTTCTTCCTCTTTTCCCACCTCAACTTAGCCCCTTAACCTCTGTCACCACACTGCTGTGTGTGTCTGTGTGTTCCATATGTTTTTTTGGCAAATCCCTTCACCTCCTTTCATCGGGTCCCCCCACACCCCTCCCCTCTGACAGCCGTCAGTCTGTTCCATGTGTCCATGCTTCTGTTTCTATTTTATTCACCCGTTTATTACATTCATTAGATGTCACATACAAGTGAGATCATACGGTATTTGTCTTTCTCTGACTGGTTTATTTCCTTAGCATAATAATCTCCAGGTCCCCCCAGGCTGTTGCAAATAAGATTTCCTTCCTTTTTACAGCTGCATAGCATTCCATTGTATAAGTGTACCACAGCATTTTATCCACTCATCTACTGATCCAATCTGGGGCTATTGGGGCACTGGGGCTATTTCCAGATCTTAGCTATTGTAAATAATGCTGCAGTAAACATAGAGGTAAATAGATTTTTTAAATTAGTGTTTCTGGATTTTTAGACTATATTTTTAGAAGTGGGATTGCTGGGTCAAAAGGCAGTTCCATTTTTAAATTTTTGAGGAAACTGCACTGTCTGTGGCTACATCAGTCTGCGTTCCTATCAACAGTGCAACAGTGCGTTCCTTTTCTCCACATCCTTGCCAGCACCTGTTTGTTGTTTTTTTGATGCTTGCCATTCTGGCAGGTGTGAAATGATATCTCATTGTGGTTAATTTGCATCTCTCTGATAATTAGTGATGTTGAGCATTTTGTCATATAGATTGGCCATCTGTTTGTCCTCTTAAGAGAAATGTCTATTCATATTCTTTGCCCATTTTTAACTGGGTTGTTTGTCTTCTTGGTGTTGAGTTGTATAAGTTCTTTATATATTTTGGAAATTAACCCCTTATCAAATGTATCATTGGCAAATATGTTCTTCCATTCAGTGGGTTCTTTTTCATTTTGTTGATGGTTTTTTTGTTGTGCAAAAATTTTTTAGTTTGATGGAGTCCATTTATTTATTTTCTTTGTTTTCCCTTCCCCATGGAGGTATATTGGCAAAAATATTGCTCCAAGAGATGTCTGAAATTTTACTGCCTATGTTTTCTTGTAGGATTTTTATAATTTTGTGACTTATATTAAGTCTTTTATCCACTTGAGTTTCTTTTAGTGCTTGCTGTAAATTGATGGTCTAGTTTCTTTTTTTTAAATCTATTGTTGTTCAGTTTAGTTGTCCCACCTTTTTCCCTATTGCTCACCTCTACCCTGCCACAAACCGCTCCCACTGTCAATCCCCTCCCCCATTGTCTGTGCCTCTGAGTCCTCTATTCATGTTCCTTTGCTTGCCTTTTCCTCTTCTTTCCCCCCATTAAATACCTTCTAGGTACCCTCTGGTCACTGTCAGTTTGTTCTTCATTTCCATGTCCCTGGTTCTATTCTGCTCATTTGTTTGTTTTGTTGATAAGGTTCCACATATAAGAGAGATCATATGGTATTTGTCTTTCTCTGCCTGCTTATTTCACTTAGCATGATGCTCTCCAGTTCCATCCATGCTGTCATGAAGGGTAGGCATTCCTTCTTTCTTTCTGGTGCATAGTGTGGAAATGTACCACAGTTTTTTTATCCACTCACTTATTGGTGGGCACTTAGGCTGTTTCCAGCACTTGACTATTGTAAATAACAATGCTGTGAACATTGGAGTGCATAGGTTCTTTTGAATCAGTATTTCAGGATTCTTAGGGTATAGTCCCAGCAGTAGGATCACTGGATTGAAAGGCCCTTCCATCCTCAGTTTATTGAAAGTACCACATTGTTTTCCACAGTGGCTGCACCAGTCTGCATTCCCAGCAACAGTACACTAGGGTTCCCTTTTCTCCACAACCTTGCCAGCACTTGTTGTTTGTTGGTTTATTAATGATGGCCATTCTGACCAGTGTGAAATGGTATCTCATTGTGATTTTAATTTGCATCTCTCTGATGGCTAGTGATGTTGAACATTTTTTCATGTGTCTGTGGGTCCTCTGTGTTTCCTCCTTGGAGAAGTATCTGTTCAGGTCCTTTGCCCATTTTTTAATTGGATTGTTTGTCTTCCTGGTGTGGAGTTGTGTGAGTTCTTTGTATATTTTGGAGATCAAACCTTTGTCTGAGGTATCAGTGGCAAATACATTTTTCCATATGGTTGGTTCCCTTTCCATTTTGTTGCTGTTTTCTTTGAGCTGTGCAGAAGCTTTTTATTTTGATATAGTCCCATTTGTTTATTCTTCTCTTTATATCCTTTGCCCTAAAGGATGTATTGGTGAGAATATTGCTGCATGGGATATCAGAAATTTTTCTGTCTATGTTTTCCTCCAGGACTTTTTTGGTGTCACAATTTACATTTAAGCCTTTATCCATCTTGAGTGTGTTTTGGTGTGTGGTGTAAGTTGGTGGTCAAGTTTCATTTTTTTTTTTTTGCACGTACTTGCCCAGATCTCCCAACACCATTTATTGAAGAGGCTATTTTTACCCCATTGTATGTTCCTGTCCCTTTTGTCAAATATTAACTCACCATATTGACATAGGTTTCTTTCTGGGCTCTCTGTTCTGTTCCATTGATCTCTGTGTCTGTTCTTATGTCAGTACCAAACTTTTGATTACAGTGGCTTTGTATTAGAAAGGAAAGTATATTTCCTTGTTAATATAGTTTGACATCATTTGATGCCTCCTGCTTTGTTCTTCTTTCTCAAAATTGCTGAGGCTCTTTGGGATCATTTATGGTTCCATATAAATTTTTGAAATATTTGTTCTACATCTGTGAAATATATCATTGGTATATTGACAGGGATTGTGCTGAATCTATAGGTTGTTTTGGGTGGTATGGAGATTTTAATGATGTACTTCTTCCAATCCATGAACAGTGCATGTGCTTTTGTTTGTTTGTATCTTCCTTCATTCCTTCTTTAGTGTTCTGTAGTTTTCTGAGAACAGGTCTTTTACTTCCTTAGTTAAGTTTATTCCTAAGAATTTTATTCTTCTTGTTGCCTTAGTAAATGGAATTTTTCTCCTAATTACTGTTTCTGACATTTCATTGTTGGTGTACAAAAATGCCTTTGATTTTTGAATGTTGACTTTGCATCCTGTGGTTTTGCCAAATTCATTTATTAGGTTGAGAATTTTTTTGGTGGAGTCTGTAGGGTTTTCTGTGTATACTATCATATCACCTGCAAACAGTGACAGTTTTACTTCTCCTTTCCAATTTGGATGCCTTTTATTTCCTTTTCTTGTCTGATTGCTGTGGCCAGGACTTCCAATACTTTGTTGAATGGAAGTGGTGAAAGTGGACACCCTATCTTGTGCCTGATCTTAGTGGGAAAGCTTTTAGTTTTTGCCCATTGAGTTTGATGTTGGCTGTAGGTTTCTCATATCTGGCCTTTATTATGCTGAGGAATGCTCCCTGTATTCCTACTTTGCTGAGTGTTTTTTATCATAAATGGGTGCTGTTTTTATCAAAGGCTTTTTCAGCATCTATTGATATGATCATGTCAGTATTGTTTTTCATATTGTTTGTACATGTATTACATTTATTGGTTTGCATATATTATACCAATCTTGCATCCCTGGGATGAATCCCACTTGGTCATGGTGTATGATCTTTTTAACATATTGCTGGATCCAGTTTGCCAATAGTTTGTTGAGAATTTTAGCATCTATGTTCTTCAGCGATATTGGCCTGTAGTTTTCTTTTCTTTGTTGTGTCTTTATCCGGTGTTGGAATTAGGATAATACTGGCCTCATAAAAAGAGTTTGGGAATCATCTCTCTTCTTGGATTTTTTTGGAGTAGTTTGAGAATAATTGGGGTTAGCTCTTCTCTAAATGTTTGGTAAAATTCTCCTGTGAATACTTCCGGTGCAGAGCTTTGTGTGCCAGTGGTTTGTTGATTCTGCTTCGATTTCATTAATTGATATTGGTCTGTTCAGGCTTTGCATTTCTTCTTGACTCCCATTCTTCCTGTAAGGTCTTTGAACATCCTTATAACCATTGTTTTAAAATCTACATCTGGTATTTTGGTGGCTTCCATTTCATTTAATAATTTCTCTGGGGATTTCTCTTATTGTTTCATTTGGGTCATATTTCTTCTTCTCTTTGTTTTGTCTTTGTGCATTAGGTAGATCTCTTAGACTCCCAGACTTGTTATAATGGCTTTTTGATGAAGGTATCTGGTTGGGTTCAGTAGCCCAATCTTCTAGATCACCTGATCTCCACAGTCCAGGAATGTTCCTTGTGGGTTATGTGCACCTTCCTGTTGTGTTTGAGTCTTGAATGCTGTTGGCCCTTTCATGGCTGGAGTAACCCTTCAGGATGGTTTAGTAGAAAGATAAACCTTGATCACCACATATGAGGTGATGTCCAGGGGCCACCCCACCAAGGTAGAGTTATTTCTAGCAGAATCTGGTGCCTGGCGAAATCCCCGTTTGGGTGTGCCTCTGTGTGACTGGTGGGGTCTAGCTTTGGTGCGGTCTAAAATGCACTGCTGGTTGTGTTGCTTCTGGGTCCACTTGGGCAGGGTTCAGGTACAGGTCAATGTCAGACATTGTATGTAATTGGCCTAGTGCTACCTGTTTGGAGCTACCACACTGTTCACTCTTTGTGCCTGCATCTGCTGGCCTTTGGTGTGCATGCAAGGGCCCAATTCGTGTATGTGGTTGGATTTTTCCTGCTTGGCACTGGGGGCAGATTTGTAAAAGAACCTAGACTTCCTGAGGTCTGCCTGCACTTGTTGGCTTCTCCACCTCCTGCTGAGGTTGCCTGGTCCTTCAGAGCTTTCAGAAGAAAGACTATAGAGTAGGCCCAAGCTGGGTGCAATCCACAGACCCTTCCACAGGTTGCGAGCTTGGCATGGCAGACAGGGCTAGTTGATCCCTACTTGGGGGTCACACATTCAGGCACTCAGTGAGGGGAAGGTGGCCTACATCACTCAGTCTCTGCCAGCGTCTCCAACTCTAGTTCCCCCACAATGGGCTGTAGGTTCAGGTTGGGTGCAGCCAGCCATCTACTCAGCTGGGAAGGGCCACCAAGTTCAGGAGAATAGATCAGAAGTCTCCCATTGGGGATGATACTGGCCCAGACCACAGGAGGGGGCTAAGCACTTAGTCCTAGTCCCAGACAATAGTCTCCAAAGAGTTCACACTATGAATGTCCCAACTCTTAGCCACTCTCTCTTTCCCTTCATGGAACCGAGCCCAGCAGGGCAGGGCTGATCCAAAGAGTCTCCTGTTGAGGGTTGTGCCTGCAAACCTGGAGGAGGGAGCAGGGCACTTCTTCCCCTTCCCAGGGCAGCATGGGCTGAGCTCACAGGTGAGATAGTAGTGGCCCCCACTCCTTACCATGTAGCCACACACCCCAGGATTCACCTGTCTGGTTCCTGGAGAAAAGCTTCGCTGGAAAACATGCTCTGAATATCCTAGCTCTGCACGGCACTCTGAATCCCTTGCTCAGCTGAACTCAGCAGAATAGAACCAGCCAAGTGATTCGACGGGAGGGATATGGGCACTGGCAGTGCACTTGAGGTGGGAGAAATAGGCCCTCTTTCCAAAGCCACACAGTTTATTCACTCTCTGAGTCTCTGCCAAGAGCCTCCCCAGAAAAAGAGGGCCCCCAAAATCATTGCTGGGTGCAGCCCAAATTCCCCTCTGCAGGACCCCAGGATGGCAGAGTGGCCTCGCCAGCAGTTAGGCACCAGGCAGTGCTGTAACAACAGGAGTGCTTGTCCCTGGGAAGGTGGCATCTAGGTCTCCCAGGCAGACAGAATCCCCACTGATTTTTCACTACTAGATGCTATGCAAGCTCCTCTTCATGTCTCTGTTGCTCTGGGTTGAGAATCCCTGTGTAGGATTGCGATCCCACACCCTTCAGAAGAGGGGGTTTTGCAGCTGCAATATCCCTCCGGCATCTCAGCCATTGCACCTGGGTGCAGGGGCTAGCCCTATTCATGTCTCCGCCCTTCTTACCAGTCTCTGTGTGGCTTCTCTGAACCCTTGGTTATATTTCAGTTCAGCTAGCATTTTGTTGGTTATTCAGGTTGATGGCTCTATAATTTAGCTGTAAATCTGGTTTTGGTGGGGAGCAGGTGAATGTAGCTTCCACCTACTCCTCTGCAATCTTTGAATGCCTCATTTTTTTTCTTAGTTGTATTGTATACTTAAAGTGTCTTCCTTTGTTTTGATTTTATGGTTTACCTTTATTTTTATCCCCAACTGTATGCTTGCATTGAAAATTAAAAGTGGAAGACCCTTTTGTTTCTGTTCTCCTTGGTTCTCCTTGTTTTCCTGTTTCCTAGGTGTAGAAAGAAGGAAGGGTGGTTGAACCTAGGTGAATTAAAGCCCCTTCCGACTAAAATAGTCTATGATTCCATGTCCTCCAGACCTTGATCCAGATGCTTATACTGTAGGCTGGAATGGGAATTAGAAGAGCAGCCTTTTCCAGAATGCTCTGGAAATATAAGGTGGGAAGACCTGTTGTTCCTCTTTTTGTTCCCAAACTATAAAAGAAAGTACTTAGCTAGAATTTTTTTTAACTCCTGTCACTGCTGGTCCCAATGGTTATGGGTTTTGAAATGCAGTTTTTCTTTTAGAATTAAAATTATACCATTAGAATAGACAAATGACCAAGAATATTTGCTTCTTAGTTTGACATACTAAATGTTTTATGTTTTCTTAACTCAAAAGTTTTTTTATGGCTAGAGATGTTTTCATTAAGAGAATTTATATAGCATTAAAGCCATTTCTATAATCTTATATAGGATCTGGAAAAAACTATTTTTTTCAACAAAAATTTATCAAGCATTAGCTGGTGTATCTGGCAGCCTGCTGGCCAACAAATGCCAGAAATTGGTTGGAAACAGCAGTTCCTAGTAGGGGATATTAATTTTTGCAGAATATTATGCTTCTTCAGTTTCTGGGGGGTTTAATTAAAAGAGATTTGGAATATAATAAAAAGCTAACATTTATCTATTTCCCTAGGGGTTAATATATCTTCATGAGCGCTACTGTTTTTAATTTCTATTTGCTGATTTTGGTCATTGACCTATGGGGAATTAAATGCCCTAAGTCTTAAAGTTTTCTTAATTTTTAATTTTAAATTAACTTATTTTCAATTACAGTTGTTATACAATATTATATTAATTTCCGGTATACAAAAAGTGATCTGTATACCGGATCTGTAAGTCTAGTACCCATCTGCAAATGTCCTAACTCTTAGTCCAGTCAATTTCTTCCTTTATAGGTTCTGCTCAGGATGTGATCATATGTGTTTTAGATAATACTTAGAAATAATTTTGAGTTTTGTTCACAGTGATAATGTCATTGTAGTTATGTACACTAGTACATAACTAGTTGTAGTTATATAAAAGTTTTCCTTTTTTTAAAGCAGTGCTTACTGAAGTATGCATGGGGGAAATGATTGGATATTTAGGATCTACTTTAAAATAACTCAGCAACAACAATAATAAAGAGAGATAAATGGAGCATATGTGACAAAAATCTTTATAGTTGTTGAATCTGGGCTTTGTGTTGGTTCGATAATATGTTCATTCTACTTTTACATATCTCTGAAATTTTTATGAGGAAAATACACACACACACACACACACACACACACACACACAAAACATCATTATGTAAATACAGCATGATGAATTTGGAAAAAAAGTAAAATTTTATTCCAAAGAATCTAACCTTAATTTTTGAACTGGCATAATATTGCAGGTGATGGTTGGATTCACAATGTCATAACAAATTGTTGGAAACAACTGACACATTTACCTAAAACAAGACCCAGGTAAGTCTAGAAGTTGCCAACAATAGTAAAATAGTCAAGAATTTTTTAAATATTAAAATATAGCACATAATTTATAGTGTTTGCCATTAAAACCTTAAATCACCAGGAAAGATGTTTTTTCAAGTAAGCTTGATGATACATAATTTAATGATCACTTAAATAATATCTGATTGTTAGAAATGATCTATTCAGTTTCTACCCAATACTTGCATATTTGAAACTATTATCCTTTTAAGTGAATGCATAATATTACCTGATAAATATGAAAAGGCTAATAAATTGATAGTAGCATATAATTTTACTGTTTTTAATAAGTAGACATGAATGGGGTTGGCTTTAGTTGTAGTACTTTGTTTATGGAAGAGGTTTAGAGCAGTTTAGTGGGGAAATTGCTTTCATGTCAATCAAATAGGTGGCAGATTATTATTTTTCTTTATTAACTTATATTCATTTGTGTGAATTTTTTAAAAAAGAAAACATTAATTATTTGTGGTATTTGTAGAGTATAATTTTCTACAAAAATTATAGAAACAATGTACTATTATTAGGTTACAAAGAAAACTACATTATTCCTGTAAATATTATTTTTTCTAATTTGATTGAATTATATAATAAACATATATCCATAGGAAATTCAGATTTGGCACATTAAATTATTATAATTAGTAATAGGTTTTATTCTTTTTCATGCCATGTATTTTAGATTTTTTACTATAGATCACTTATTCTAATGTGAATCAACTTAATGACGTGCATTTCAGTAATTTAATATATGACAAGTAATTTACTTGAGAAAAAGACCTGAAAAAATATATATATCATTGTATATACCTATATTAACAGAAATAATATATTTAGAGTTTATCATAGTTGTATGTATGATTCTTATATTTTCATGTATAGAAATTCATTTGAATGTTTTTTTTAGTAATTCTGGATCTTTTCTAATATATATTTTAATTTAAAGAGTTTTATATTAAGATATAGGAGCCCAGAGTTCTAGTCCTTGCTCAGCTACTACTTAGCATTTTGGCTTTGGTAAAGTTACTGATGAAACTGAGCATCATTTTCTTCATCTCTGAAATGAGAGAGCTGGACTGGATAAGCTCTTCATTCTCTTCCAGTTGTTTGATTGTATGAATGCATTAATTATAGACCAAATTGGTAGTAAGAATGCTTAATTTTTTAATTGCTATTTTATATTTAAGCCCTTAATGAGTAATTAAAGCAGCACAACTATGATCAATAGTATACTAGTTAGAACTGAGCAATGTAAAGAGATTTTCTAAATTCAACTAATGTGCCATCTAAATAATATGCTTTATTAGAATGTTTAGGTGATAAGTTTAGAGCAGCTGTAAGAGGACATAAACTTTCAGTCTGTAGAAAAAACATCAGGTTGCAAACTAGATGTCATCAAAATCAAGGCAGGAAAGGCTTTCCAGTGTTCTTCGAAGATGAAGTCCAGGCCAGAGTTTCCATAAGGCAGATAAGACAAAGGCAGATCTATCTTCAGGTATGAGGTGAGGAGAAGAGGTGGGATACAGTTTAGTGTAAGGAGAACATATATGTGTGTATATATACTAGTTTTTTATGAAAGTAAGAATTTATTTAACATCTAAATTAATTTTATGCAAACGTTTCCAAGCTATAATTTGAAATGTAAGCTGCCCAATTCTCCTCTTGTAATTCTACATCAGGTTTCTCAACCTCAGCACTATTGACATTTTGGGCCAAATTATTTAATGTGAGGGGGATCCTGTGCATTGAAGGATGTTTAATAACATCTTTGTCCTTTACCCATTAGATGCCAGTAGTACTGTCCCCCATTAACCTGGAGTTATAACAATCAAAAATATCTCCAGATATTGTCAAATGTCCCCTCGGGGACAGAAATGGCCCTGGTTGAGACAACTGTTCTACAGTCTTGTGTCCTCCTCTAAAGGTCATACTAGATAAAATAATATTGATGAAAAGCCATCTACATATCCATATCTGCTCATCTGTATAGGCGGCTGTCAACACAGAACTTTCTTATATATTTGTAAAAGATGTCAATAAGGTGTCGGTCTATAGAGCCCTAGATACTGTTGTATCCCATGAGCATTGGCAAGGTTACCTGGCCTTCTCTCCAATAAGTTAAGCCGCCCATATCTGAGTACTCCATCATATTCATTCTACCTCTTTTACCCAGTCCCTCTTCTTGTTCCCAACTCCAACCCCAAAACATCACCTGAGTGTTGCTGAAGATTTATGTCACATTATGGTCTAACATACAAGTTGGAGAATTGGGCAGAGTAGTTCCCAAACAAAGAGTCTCTAGTGACTCACTTCTATCCTGGGTCCAAAGTGCAGTTGTCATTGAATGTGTCATGATTTGTTTGAGGAAAGGCTTTAACAAGTTGTACATAATCTCACTGTTTGCACTTGTGGAAGTTAAGTAAAAAATATTAATGTACTAATATAAGTTATGTGGTAATAAAAGGTGATAATGTGTAATTATTTGGGGAATTTGTTAACTCAGCAATTTGGTCTTTAAGAGAAATAAAGTACTTTCAGAATTAAAGCAATGGCTTTGGAAACACTCAACTTATCTTTTAAAATTGAGAAATTTATGTGTATTTTTTATTCTGATAGTTTAAGCCCTCAGAAAAATTGAGCTTTTTCAAAACAATGTTAGATGCTCTACTCCTTTATGAAATAATTTGCTTATTTGATCACTGAATAAATTATGGTGGCATTTTGTTTTTGCTTTTGTTAATCAAAAGTTTTTGATCACCTGCTGGATACAGAATACCATAATAGGCATTTTTAAAGAGAAACATATAATTAGATTACCCAAGCTCCAATGATGTGCTGGTAAATAGTTAACACTGCTGCCCAGGAAAAACAAAATTTTTAAAAAGCCATAATATGTATCTTTTGCTGGTTTCCACCATGGCTGGTTTCAAACTACCAATATGATGTCACTGAACATGGAGTCGGATGGAGATGCAGAGTCAGCTTTAACTGGCCAATTAACTGGTTCCAGCACACCAGTGCAGCAGCTTTTCACCTTAGATCTTTTTGTGGGGAGCAAAAGACACATCAAACAATTAAAGCAGTATATAGAGCAGTTTATCACCAAATGTAAGTTAGATTATAAAATGAACACATAAATGTTGAAAGGTGCTAAACAGAGAGGGTGACAGCCAGTTTGGGCAGCATTTGGGAATTTTTTTAAATTATATATTATTGATTATGCTATTACAGTTGTCCTGATCTTTCCCTCTTTGCTCCCCTCCACCCAGCAACCCCTACTTTCTCAGGCAATCCCCCCACCATTGTTCATGTCCATGGGTCATGCATATAAGTTCTTTGGCTACTCCATTTCCTGTATAGTGCTGTACATCCCCATAGCTATTCTGTAACTACCTATTTGTACTTCTTAATCCCCTCACTCCATCACCCATTCTTCTCCTCTCCCTCCCATCTGGCAAATTTCCAGTAACTGACTTCTTTTCTCATGCTGCTTTTGAGAGTCTATCTTTATCTTTAACCTTTGGCCTTTTAATAATAATGTGTCTTGGAGTGGGCCTCTTTGCATCCATCATAATTGGGTCTCTTTCTGCTTCCTGGACTTGCATGTCTAGTTCCTTCACCAGATTAGGGACGTTGTCTTGCACTATTTTTTCAGATAGATTTCTAATTTCTTGCTCTTTCAATTCTTTTTCTGGCACCCCAATGAGGTGAATGTTGGACCTCTTAAAGTTGTCCCAGAGGTTTATACTATCCTCATTTTTTTTTTAATTTTTTTCTTCTTGTTCTGCATGGTTGTTGTTGTTTTGCCTCCTTATGTTCTGTACTATTGATTTGATTCTTGGCTTCATCCATTCTCCTGTTGTTTCCTTGTAAATTGTTCTTTATTTCGATTAGTGTAGCCTTTGTTTTTGACTGGGTCTTTTTTTATGTTGCTGAGGTCCTCGCTAAGTTCCTTGAACATCCTTATAACAAATGTTTTGAACTCTGCATCTGATAGATTGCTTATCTCTATTTTGTTTAGTTCTCTTTCTAGAGTTTTCATCTCTTCTTTCATTTGGGCCATGTGTCTTTGTCTCCTCATTTTGGCAGCTTCCCTATGTTTGTTTCTATGTATTAGTAGAAGTCCTTTGAGTCTGTGTCTTGCTAGTATGGCCTAATGTAGTAGGTGTCTTGTAGGGTCCAGTGGCATAGCCTCCCCTATCACCCAAGATGGGTACTCGAAGTGTACCCTTTGTGTGGGCTGAGTATACCCTCCTCTTGTAGTTGAGCCTTGGTTGCTGTTGGCGGATCAATGGGAGGGATTTACCCAGGCCAGTCAGCTGCTAGGACTGGCTGTGACCACTGACCACCAACCTCCATTCTCTGTGGAGGATCAGCTGTGCAGGGGCAGGGTGGGGGTGCTCCAACTTGGTTTATAGCTGTCCACTGGGTTTATTGGCCCCAGGGATTCCTGGGTGGTGCAGGTCAAGGTCTGATCCCACCTGTGTTTTACCCAGGGCACCCTGCTTGAGCTATAAAACAATCTGATATGGCTGTTACTTGTGCTGGGCTTGGATATTCCCAAGTGAAGCCAAACTATGACTAATCTGGCTGCTGCTAGGGCTCACTGAAGCCATCTGTTGCTTGTTTGATAGGTTTTAGGAGCCAAGACCAGCCATTCTTATGGCAAAGCAGTTTGTGTAGGCCCCTAAATCAAGTGATCTCCAGGGTGGGTCACACAGTGTTAGCCAGGTTGATATAATCTCAGATAGGGCACCAGTCTACTGGCTTTGTTGGGGGAGGGCTCAGCAGAGGGACAATGGGCTGTGCTTGCCCTGATGCCAGACACTGCAGTATCTCCCTATATGCCACTGTTGCCCTTCAAGCTGCCACCCCTGTGCTAGAGCTCAGAGGGAGCGAGTCTGAATAGGTGAGTCTGTGTGTGGGTTCCCCAAGAGGAACTGCTTAGGGCTCCAGCAGCCTCCTCCACAGACTGAATCCCCAACTGGTTTTCACAGCCAGAAGTTTTGGGGACTTATCTTCTTGGCATTGGAATCCTGGGCTGGGGGGCCTGGTGTGGATCTAGGGCTCCTTGCTCCATTTGGGGATTTTGAGCCTGGTTTTTTTTTTTTTTTTTAGGCCATAGGAGAATGACTTCTCATTCTAAGACTTGGAAACTGGGTGAACAGAGTCAGATGGATGCTTCATTTTTAGGAAAAGCAAATAAATAAAGTTGGCTGAAGTAGAGGGTTCATTTGGGGAGAAGCAAGAGTTCATTATAGTTTTATGGAAAACAAATAGTTCTCGGTCATAAATATTGTTAAGAAAAATGGCACAGGTGCATCTTGATCAGGAGATGTCTGTGGTTAAAAACAATATTTGACAAATACTTATCAATATGTAGCTGACGTTACAGACAGAAAGATGAGGAACATGTGTGGTATTCTGTACCCAGAGTGATGAGCAGTGTGACAATGTAAATAAAAAGAAAATGCCCAGTCGGATTTGTTAGGTGATGGGGAAGAGGGAACAGGAGTCAATAATGAGGACAGGAGCATGGCAGAGAGTAGTAAGAAAAATGGGAAAGGTGTCTATTTTTGCTAATCTAAAATGTTTTCTTTCTAAAATGTTTTTGTGATAAAATGTTTTTGTTTTTCTTTCTAAAATGTTTTTGTGATAAATTATTTTAATATCTGAGTTAGAGAGATTAGAAAAAGTTGTGGGATGAAATGGGAAAGTTATTGGGGATCATCTCCTTAAATGATGTGACTTAATGAACTCTAAAATCTAATTCTCTGGTGATCCTAGAAGGATCTTTAAAATCTGTCTTCTTTGAGAATATCAAACTCCAAACTTTGGAGTTCGGTAATGCCTTTTGAAATAGGTTACATTTTAGACTGTGCAACTGAAGATATGTATCTGTGATGTAGTTTCTTCTTTGATAGTATTTCACTGTTTATACTTTTCAATCATAGGTTATGGCACACTGCCTGTTTGGGAAAAGAAAATGAAATAATGGTATTTGGTGGAAGCAAAGATGATTTACTTTCCTTGGATACAGTAAGAAAATTTCTTATCTAAATATTTCCTCTAATTGTGTTATTCAGCCTAAATGGTTGTTCAATAAGAATGTTAGTATTCCCACATTGCAAAATATGGAAAGACATGAAATGTTACTCTGTGGTGTGACTAATCTTCAGAGTAAGTGGCTTTTGTGAAGTATTTCAGGATCTTAGGTTTGCAAATCAAAATAGATCTATTAACTTCATTAGTCAAGTTATTAAGAAAAGGTTTCAGGATGGCTTTTCATTTTTTCTTTGAGCTTTTCCATGGTATGGGTGCTTATAATTTTATTGAACTACTTGATACATAAAACAAATATATGAGGTATATGTAAACAACTTAGTGTAAAAAGTGCTTATGAAATTTGCCTCCTAACAATAACTAGAACATCATTACTGCTAGCTTTTTTCCTCAAAACTACTTTGAAATGCTTAGTGTATTTTCTTTTTATTATATGCATCTTTTGCCACTGCTTCACCTGTTTTACATTTGCATGAAGGTATTTGTTTCAAAATCTGATAAAACTAAGGTCAAAGGAATAAATGGGTAGCATTTGGAGGGCATTGTTCTTTAATTCCTAGCACCTTGGGAAATTCAGAGCAGGGTGGCCACCCTCCTTTTTCAGATGTGATGGGACAGGATTTCAGGACTGGTTGCTCTGGTTCGGATGAACACTTAGGCATAGCAGGACCGAGCCTCCGTGGAGGGGTGGGTACAACAAGCCAGGGTCCAGCCAAGGTGGGGCCCATTCCCTTTCATTTCCTTGGGCGTACTTGTTTCCAGAGCTGCTCCTACAGAATAGCATGGCAAACCCTGAAACAGGTAGCTTCTCTCCAGGTAACTTGTTTATTTTATAGTCCTGAGGCCTTCAATTTAAAAGTTATATATACTGAAAGTTTCAGAACTTTCTTTGGCTGAGAATGCACTGCTTCAAAAAGAGATGAAAACCACAACTTTGCATTTAATTAAGAAACAAATTTAGTGGTTCATCTGTTTCTGGGCACTAGAAGTCTTCACTTAGGACATAAATTTTATCATTAAAATAGGAATTCTGATTAAAATCATGATAATTATGAAATTCTAAAGACCTATTTGAGAGGATTAGGGAAATTTTCCGCTGATTTTTCCACATTAATTTTCAAATGAGAAAATCATATTTAGAAAATCTTTTAGATCTGTGATTTTCAAATGAAGAATTCCCAGAAAGTCCTGATATTACAGAATGGACTTGCGGGGTGGGCGGGGAACAAAATACTATTACCGAATGGACCCCCCCTTTCTCCCAGGGTCTCCCTGCACTAGGCTCGCCTTGCCCAGTGCCGGGGAATTATAGCTCTCAATGCCAGAGACTGGTGAAAAGGAAAGGAGTTATTTATTCAAAAGTTATACAGACTTAGGAATAATGACAATGTCTCCGTTAAGATCCCAAAGTCCCTTAAAACACCCACAAACACACACAATCCTTTCTTCCCCTTTACCTACTCCTAGGTACCATATCTCAGGAAAAGAAATAGAAGTCTGTGGCTCAAGTAGCCCTCGGTTCTTCCCAGTAATCTGTGCTCAGCTGGAAGGCCTCTCTCGGATCCCAGCACCATCAGCTGTGTCACTGGGATCTCTAGTTCCTATTCCAAACCCATATGGCACCTTCTCGTGGCCCACCAGCAAGAGTCCTTTCACACCTTTCCTTCCCACAGCGTCTCTCCTGCATTTTTCCAAGCTGCTGAGAGACAGTTCTGCATGGATGCTACATCTTGCTTCCCAGCTTCCTAAGCTGTGTGGCAAAGGGAGCCCTAAAGCTGCATGGTTCTCTTCTAGCATGGCTGCCATGCCTGGGTTTAAATCCCAGCACCAGTCTTGCTCTGCAGCCCCATTTCTGACCTCTCCCACAGTAAGCTACACCTGCCAGCATTCTTGTGTTTTTCCAGCTTTTCTGGGCTGCCATAGTAAGTCCAGGCAGGTGTGGCCTCGTGGATGGAGCCAATCATCTCCAAGCTCTCATGCAGGCCCTGTAACCAGGGGGAGCTGCCTCCCAGTTACATCCTGGGTGGAAGTCACTCTCATCTTTCTGGCTCAAAGCACAGATACAGCGATTTAACATATCCATGAAACCAGTTAAAACTCATAGATAACCCTGGCTGGTATAGCTCAGTGGATTGAGCTCGGGCCTACAAACCAAAGGGTCATGGTTTGATTCCCAGTCGGGCATATGCCTGGTGCAGGCCAGGTCCCCAGTAGAAGGGGTATGAGGGGCAACCACACATTGATGTTTCTCCCCCCCTTCTTTCTCCTCTGTGCCTCTCTCCATAAATAAATACATCTTAAAAAAACTTATAGTTATGTTAAATGACCATGCCTGAGGTTATTTGCAAAACAGTTGCTATGCAGAACAGCTCTCAAGGGCCCTGCTCCATGTGTCCCATCCCCCCAGCTCAGACCTGTGGGGGTGAGGACATTCTGTATTTTTTAATATTTCCTGGACACCCTGAGTTCTGGACCCCATTACAAATCCCTATTTGGGGGTCCCCTGGCTTACACCCTGTTACACTGGGACCACCTGGAAAAGGGAGATGGGATAAAGAGAAGATTTAAAAATAAGAGTAATTTGGATGAAAAATGTTCTGCTTAAAAAACAAAAAAGTTTGAAAACCACTACACTGGCATTTTAAACTTGCTGTTCTAAGAGAAAAACACGTTTCTGATTTTTAAATTTGGTTATCTAGACTGTGGTTAGGTAAAAATTGGGTCACTGAAAATATGGTAACCATGTTTCTAAAATTTGTGTGGATATAGATATTTGTATGTATGTGTATGTTTATATGTGCATGTGTGTATGTGTGTCCATAGCCAGAGAGAGATTTATTTGCAGCTTTATATAATTTCTTACATTTATAAAATAAAAATATTCAATATTAATGCAGTTATTCTATTTAAAAATTTTTTATTGTTCAGTCACTGTCGTCTCCACTTTCCCCCCATTGCTTTCCCCTGCCCTACTCACCCTGTGCTTCCCACACCCACTCTCCCTGCCCCTCCTATTCTTTGGCATTGTTATTTTTATTAAAAAATGTTGATAACTCTTTTTTATGTTGATTAGGGTCACTGTAATGATTTATTGATCTTTCAAACACAACCGTATTCACTAGTCAGGTAAGTAAATTCATTATTTTTTTTTAAGATTTTATATATTTTTAGAGAGAGGGGAAGGGAGGGAGAAAGAGAGGGAGAGAAACATCATTGTGTGGTTGCCTCTGAAGTGCCCCCTACTGGGAACCTGGCCTGCAACCCAGGCCTGTGCCCTGACTGGGAATCAAATCAGCAATCTTTTGGTTCACAGGCCCGTAGTCAATCCACTGAGCTACACCAGCCAGGGCTGAAATTCATTATTTTTAATATGTATGCTATTAATATATAATAAATTATTTCTGCCTGATTTGGGGGAAATTTAGTAATATTTTTCAGGTAGTTTATTACTTGAATTTTTTTTAATGTTTAAATCATCCTAAGAGTATAATCAAATTTGTAATGGTGAAACATACACCAATGTTATTTGTATTTTTCTTTAAGATTTTATTTATTTTTAGAGAAGGGAAGGGTGAAAGAGAGGGAGAGAAACATCAGTGTATAATTGCCTTTCACGTGCCCCCTACTGGGACCTGGCCCAAAATCCAGGCATGTGCTCTAGACTGGGAATCGAACTGGTGACACTTTGGTTTGCAGGCCGGCACTCAGTCCACTGAACCACACCAGCCAGGGCCAATGTTGTTTTTAAAACAAAATATATAGTATACTCACATTTTTGTTCTGATTGTAAAATTGCATTTAGTTTATCTGGGAATACTAATCACACTGTATTTCCTTGATTCTAAGCCTGACTTTTTTCTTATTTTGACTTTTCTGAAGTCAGAATGTAAACACATATACAAGCTTTTAATTTAGTACAATTTCTTTTTTTATAACTTCAAAGCTGTTATTGAATTGGTGGTGTAACTGACAGACTTAGCTCATATACTCTTGCTTTAAAAAGAAGGTACGCAATGTTTAGTCGGAGGATCGTGGAAGAAGCCCCTGTTCCTGCTGGTGAAGGTTGGGAGGAAGGGTTTCAGTGAAGCAGCAGTTGCCCAGTGAAGAAGTGTGGGTATTGTGTGTAGTAGGAGTGACACGGGTGAAGGCACCAGGGACAGAGAAACAGGGAGACAGAGAGAGGTGACGTGCTGTATGTCAGGGAGGATGCTGTAACTTCCAGACATCTTACAGCTTGAATCACTTGAAAACCAATGAACTAGCTCAAACTGGACCTCCCTAAAATCTTTCCTAACTGCCCTTTCTGTCAGCACAGTGTTTCCTACACTTGCAGCACAGGAGAATCTCGTGTGGAACTTTAAAACATATTGATGCCTGGCTTCCATCACCACAGATTGTGGTTTAACTGGCCTGGAGTGTCATGTGCAATTTTTGAATGCTCCCAAGGTCGTTCTAATGTGCAGGCAGAGTTTAAGGATTGCTACTCTGGTGATTTATACTGCAGTGAATTGTTGCTTAACTTTTGCTGTGAGCAACATAACTGCTCTCCCTAAGTAGACAGCACATTCCCCATATCCAAGGATCAAGAAATAAAGTATTTGAGTGCCCACCATGGGGAGGCACATTGCTATGAAATTGAAAATCACCTTTCCCTTAAATTGCTAATAATACAGAAGGCAAGCATTCAAACAACTATAGTAGAAAATTGAAAATTGCTTTAAGAGGCACATATAGACGGTTTATGAGAATACTAGAGAGGAAGGCTCTCTCTCCACATGGTTAAGATTGTGAAGGCTAGGGAAGTCTTTCAGAAGAAGGGTTTGAGACGAGAATTTACTATGAACAGGCAGTGCAGAGATGCTAGCATTATATATGATGTGCCTTGGAAACTGAGTTCTTGAGTATTCCTGGGATATAAGTATGAGGGGGGAGTTGTAAGAGATGAGGTTGGACAAGAAATCAGAACCCATGTGTCATCTGAGCACTTTGTCTCTCATGCAGAGGAGTTTACATTAGCTTGTAGGAGATCAGGAAGCACTGAAAAGTTGGAAGTAGAGGAATGAGATAATCATACCACAAGTTAGAAAAAGTCTCTGGCAACAGTGTGGATGAGACACAGGAGGGCTATGAAACCGGGTTAGGAAAGTCGGTAGAGACTGTTGCAGTGGTCAGGCACAAGGTGAGAGTCTGATCTAGAAAACGGCAGTGGAGCTGGAGAAGGGAGGGAGGTGGGGGTACTTAGAAGGGAAACATGGGTGTGGTAGATGAAAGAGGAGGGAAGAGTTAGTGGTAGAGGGAATAGGGAGAAGGCAGTAGAGTTCAAGGTGGGATGGGGTAGAAATGGTAAATTTGGTTTAGGACATACTAAGTTGAAGTCCTTAGGGGACCTCTAAGTGGAGCTGTTCATCAAATAGGAAATATGTGAAGAGAGGTCTGGGCTACACATAATGATTTAAAGATTGTTGGAATAAGAATTCCAACAATATAAACGATGTGGGTTAGCTTTGCCCAGGAAGGAAGAGTTCATCCTTACTATCATAAGGATGAAGTCAACAATTAAGCATTGAGAGCTCGTAATGTTTGAGGAGCAGGTAGAGGAAAAGGAGGCAGAAAGTGACCAGAAATGTCAAAGGTGAACCAGGAGATAATGGGGATACGACACCTGCAGGAGAAGAGAATTCAAGATGGAGAGACCACTTGTAGAGAGATTACAGAATATCTGGATTGAAAAGAGCCTGGGAGGTCTTGGCTGAGTAACTCAGTCCTGATATGCCAAGAATGTCATCCGAATATGCTAAGGTTGCAGGTTCAATCCCCAGTGAGGGCACATACAAGAATCAACCAATGAATTCATAGGTAAGTGGAACGACAAGTCAATGTTTCTTTTTCTCTCTGTCTCTCCCTCTCTTTCACTGTCAAATCAATTAAAGGAATGAAGGGAGGGAGGAAGGAAAGAAGGAAGAAATGAACGAATTAATGAATTAATTAAGAAACATGCCTTGGAGTTTGGCAATACTAGGAAATTGTTGGTAAGGTGAAGGCGGAAGCCAAGATGACTTCCAGGTATGAACACCAGGACCAAGGAAGGACTGAGCATATTTGTTCACATGCTGAGGGGAAGAAACCAGTGGGAGTACATTGCTGGAAACACAGGAAGTGAAGGCAAACGAGCAGAGCATAGTCTTAAGGAGGTGTATTTTAGTGAACAGGTAAATTGAATTGGCCCTTGACTGGAGCAAGAATACTTTTAAAATAGGGTGGGGAGAGTAAGTATAAAGAAAAAATAATTTGTTGGTTGGGGACAGGGCATTGAGGTAGTTTTGGCTGATAGTGAGGTCATCTGATAAGAAAGCAGAGAGATGAGGATGTGAATTTAAGAAGAGTGCTGAAATTTGAAATAGCTGCTGACGTGGCTGAGAGATGCTGACAGATGTGACAGAGCAGTGCTGGGCACAGAAGAGGGCGCGGCTGAGGTACACTAGACTCAGTCGTCAGTGAGCAGTGAGCAGTGTGCACAGGCGCACAGTCCTCCAGCGGCACTGAGCAGCCAGGGTGCGGGTGCAGAAAGGAGATACTCGCTGAATTTACCTGTGGTTGGAATTTAGCCAGGATGGTGTAACAAGAGGGACAGTGGAGAGGGGGATTAAGATTTTTTGCAAGAGAATGAAGTGCATATGGACTAAGCCGGATAGGAAAGAAAGTTAAAACTGGAGGAGTCTGGTTATTTGGTGAACCAGGACAAGTCAAAAGATAAAGGAGTGTAAAAATTAAAAGGATGCAAGGATTATGGTCCAAGAGGAGAGTATGGAAGTTTAAGATTTCAGAAGTCGAACTGTCCTGAGTGAGGTCATAAAGAATAAAAAGGTTTTTGCCCTGGCTGTTGTGGCTCAGTGGATTGAGTGCCAGCCTGTGAGCCAAAGGGCTGCTGGTTGGATTCCCAGTCAGGGCACATGCCAGGGTTGTGGGCCAGGTCCCCAGTAGGGGGTGTGTGAGAGACAATGATCAATGTATCTCTCACACATTGCATTTCTCTCTTTCTCTTTCTCCCACTTTCCCCCTTTCTCTAATAATAAATAATAAAATATTTTAATTAAAAAAAAAGAATTAAATGTTTTTCCACAAAGATGCTAAAATCAGTCAAGAGACAAGATTGTGGTAGCCAGGATCAGAGTCCTCAGCATGGATGGGGTCGGGGGTGGTAATGAATAGGAAGGAGGTTAGTAGGTGGCAATGCGTGGCAGTGAAGTGATAGCAGGCTTGAAGCAGAATATGAACACTAGCTCCTTGACTGTGAAAGGGGAGGTGAGGGAAAATTTTACTCTTTTTCTTACAAAGCAATTTTCTTAACTTTCAATTAAAGCTAGGACAGAAAGTCCTACACACAAAGCAATTTTTTTTAACTTTCAATTGAGGCTAGGACAAAGTCAGAAGAAGCAGGGGTGTTTGTAGACACAGCTGGCACTCTGAAAAGCACAAAGGAGAGATTTGGAAGGTACTATTGTCACCGCGCACAGACCCAGGGAAAAGGTCACAGGACTGAAAATCTCTGTGAGCAGAGGACAGGGAAAGACTGAAGAAAGAGGCTGGCCACTCCAGTCTCATAATTAATGGAATTTATCGAAGGAAACTCATATAGGAGGTACATCTTCAGTGGCTATAAAATGAAATGGATCCCCACACCACTTGACAGGCACCAAAGAATTATATGGGATAAAGTGGCAGACAGTAACAGGTACTCAAATGTGAATGCTGCTACTTATGTGAATTACTTACACGTTTGTGCAGCTCAAGATAATGGCCTTGTTCCAGGAACCAGCAGTGCAAAGTAGGGGAACACTGTGGTTTATGACGTAACAAACAGCAATTAGGATCAGATGGTCTCTAAGGCGGGTGGGAGGGTTGTGAGAAGCACTCCCCATTCTGGCCCAGGTCCAGCTCATTGGTCAGGCGGTGGTCACATCCTGGGACAGTCTGTCCTCCCCAAAGATAAACAGTGATGGGGAAGATGAGCTGGTGTGGAAATGGGAGAAAGCAAAAGGACACACTGGGTGGGCCTGTATTTGAGGCCGGGACTAAGGGTGACAGTCAGGTTTCTTGGTATCGTGCTCTGCAACTAGTGCAGTGCT